TACCAAGGGTGCTAAATGCACATCTTTTGTGTTAGGAGGGAGCTGAGATAAAACAGCAACGAATTCACGTCGCGATTTCTTTTGATCAAGGGTAAAGGAGCATGGTATAACACGTAAACAAGTAGAATAACAATAGATCGCCCACTGTTTATCCATAAAATGTTGGATGGAGGAGACATCATCATAAACGATACGAGCTTATTGGACTTTAGCAATAGCACGTGTATGAAGGCGACAGGACTGTATGTTACCATACTTTTTGAAAAGAGCAGTAATATCATCTTTCTTGATGAAAAACGGGATGTCAGTAATTTGAATTGCCCAGAGATCTTCATCAGTTCGGAGTTGTTGAGGGTCATGTAGAAAAAATCGGAGATCGGCAAGATCATCATGTTGGAGAGAAAGGCAGGCGTCACGTTCAGTAGTTGAATTAAAATGAATGACTAATCTTTTGAGGTCACCAGAACCAGACATGCGAGCACGGCCAGTGTAGGAGTGATAACATCGGGAAATTTTTTAAGATGCAGAACTGCGGAGATCTGTAAAATTAGCAGATCTCCGCATTTTTTTTGTGAATTTATGCGGAAGTCTGCGATTTTGCAGATTTCTGCTTTTTATTTTTTACAAAATTATGCAATAATCTGCAATTTTGCAAGTTTCCGATTTTTTATGTATGCATTTCTGCGGTAATCTGCGATTTTGCAGATTTCCGCTTTTATTTTTTACAAAATTATGCAATAATCTGCAATTTTGCAAGTTTCTGATTTTTTATGTATGTATTTCTGCGGTAATCTGCGATTTTGCAGATTTCCGCTTTTATAACCACTATATTACTAACTGAAGAAAACTCTGTACTAATACTAACTGACGGAAATCATGAGATAAATTGCTATTTTTTACAGTTTGTTTAATTGCTTTAATTTACTAGCAACCCGTAAGATATCATACTATTAAAGACTACCTCTTTTTGTCGATCTGAAAGGCTTTTCATAAAACTAGCGAAAAAAGCTAAAGTGGCGTTTTAGATATACTGTATGGATGATGAAACGTCATTTTTCTTTATTTAATACAATTTTATTTTGAAGATTTAGAACATATATTTATTTAACAGAAAGCAATTTTCTTTGTTAAACCTCGGAATTATATGAACCTCCTGATTGATAGATTCAACTGGAATAATGTTATATTCTTCAGTATAGTATAATTGGGAATAACCATAGACTATAGGCTCTATTGGATGAATGTCAAACCAACGAACAAGAGCAAGTTCGTATGGCTCTTTATATGATCCTCGAAAGAATTTTAAAAATAGCAATACCTTAAAAAGAAATAATTTGTAAAGAACTACGAAGTAAAATCGTACTTACGAATTTTTAAAGTTCACTTACTTTTCCGTACCAAGCACCTTCGTCTTGTCCTTGATCCTCCGCATGAGTTACTGCGACATTGCTAAACCATTCTTTTCCTTGGAATTCACCCGTTGATCTTAGAATTTCTCCACTTTCTAGATGAACTGAATCATAAATTTTGATAAAAAAATCATTTTCTGAATCTTGCGAGGATGTGTCTAAAAAAGTATCCAACGCTGTAATTATTTGTGCCAATCCTTCAATATAATTTGGATGTGGCGGATTTTCAGATTTTTTTAAAGATTTTATTTTTTCATCAATGGAGTCTAGATTTAATTCCCAAAGAATTTTTCCAAACCCTTCAGTTTTACGAC